TTTTGCTCATGGATTTCCTAGTGTTCCAGGGTTCTTACCTCCAGCTTGTTTTCTCAGGTTTCTTCCCTGCTCAACAATAATGTTGTGTTATCAGATAAGGTGATATAAAGTAACACTTCAAAACAGGTGATGATAACAACATGTGTTAGATTAAAGTGACAAGAATGAATAATTAACTCAATATAGCTGAAGTCCCACAAATGGTAAAACTGAGAGTTAATTGGTTTTGAAAATCCACATTTGATCAAAGTGTTATCTTCTAAAAAAAAGTTTTATAAAGCTTGAAAACAGACTTTAAGTAGTACAATTTAAAATAGAATATGACTGTTATTTTTTATAATACAGTTGGGAAATCCATGTATTTTTAAATAGTAAGGGGAAAGTTCACAACTGAAGAAAAAACACCTACTTAAATGTGCATTTAAGTAGGACTAATTCACAAAGATACAAATTGTCTATCTAATATCTGTGCATAAAAAAACAGCATCAGTCCATTTAAAAGAAAAACTGTACAATTAACACGTTAAATAAGAGCATCTTAAGAGCCTATGAAGCTTGCTGGAAACAGAGATGGTTATAAAGTTGAGAAACTGATTGAAGGAAAGTGTTATCTGAACTTATTTGCACCTAGGTTAGATTCTCTTACCCTCCAGTTCTGCAATAGCTTTATCAATCAAGTGGAGGACTGTCCAGCAGTAATGTTTTTTTTCTGTTGCTAAATTTCTTATGTCTTCCACCACATGCACTGGGTCAGGGAGCATCTTAGGATTCTGTTAACCTTAAACTTATTCAACCACTTTCTCTCAGCTTTAGATAGGTAACCAAGCCAACAAACTGCACCATAGAAGATGACTGTTGCCACAGCAGGGTAGAAAATTTTTTTTGAAAAGCAATCCCTGTTGTCCAAAAAATCTCCTTTATTAGCAGGTTTAGTTTGTTTAGTCCCTTCTCAAAAACAGTATCAATTCTGTTAGCCTAGGCCAGTACATTGTTTCTGTGAACATCTAGATACTTAAAAGAGTCCTCTACCTCAGTTATGGTTTCTGAAGGTTCACTTGTGCTGGATGGTGTCTGTGGAGCTCTACTGCAGAGTTTTGGATGAAGGAATTTACCCTGCAACCGAAGGATTGTCAGTTCAAATGTCATCATATTACACTTTAAAAGAACTATAAAAAAATAAATGATCAGTATCACATAGTCAGATTCAATGATGTTTACTGTAGAATTGAAACCAACATGGACATACACTCCATAAAAATACCCAAACGTTATTCTTCCACCCATCGCTGACTTGCAGCATTCACTGATCCTCTGCAAACAGACATGAACACCAGACAGTTGGTTTCATATTTGGATTGAATTTACAGCAGTACCTCAAACTGAGTATGACTTAGCAACAGTGTTAAGGAAAACTCCATATGAACAGGAAAAAACTCCAGTAGCACCTGTCTCAGTTTGAACTCAGTGTGTACACTGCCAAAACACTGACTAAAGGTTTGATAAGACCAAGCATAAACGCCCGAAAAGAAACTCGGATGCACTAATTCGGTAGGACTCTATGTTAAAAAAGTAAAATTAAAAGACATTAGTATCTGTTTTAGTGTCCTCATCTATACGAGAGATACAGCTAAGTGAGTGGTGGCCTGGTCGTTAGAGCAAAGTGCTTACGGTCTGAGGAGACTGCCAGTATCTGGCCACTCTGGCTCCAAGCTGTGCTCCGTTTCCTAATGGATGGGTTAAATTAAGAGGTCAAATTTCATTTTAATGCTCATTTTTAATATACAATAAAGTTGCTTATCCAAATCCAGCTTTGCAGATAAATATAGAGCAGGTCTTCAAATGCATATGATTAAAAACAGCCTATGCAGCTGGTAAGGCCATTCAGCTCTACCAATGAAACCATTTAATGAAATTAAGTTTGTTAATAGTTATCCAGGGATCCCTCGCTGATTGCATTGAATCACTGACTTTAAGTGAAGCCTTGTCTTGACTAAGTATGAGGAAAAAGTTAAAAGGAGAAGCCAACCTTTCAACAGGTAGAAACTTTCAGCAGATTTTAGCTGCTTCATGTTAGACTTTTTATGAGTATACAAGAAGCACCATGCCATAACTCGGAGTGAAAAGGATAGAGAAGACACACACACAAAAAAAAAACAAAAAAAAAACATTGTTCCAGATTCTTGTTCACAATGTTAAGTCTGTTAAACAGCAATATTAGCATCTAATGTCTTGGTAATAATAGCAGTTTGAAATAATGTATTTTGGAGTACCTTGGTTGTATAAATATAGTTTTGAGGTTAAAGTTATCAATATAACGTATTATTATTGAATATCATTAAAATTGTAACCTTGACCCCAAAACAGACCTATTCCCTCTTTATAAGACATAAATATGAAGACTAAGTAATTTACCGTATATCTTTTATCTCCTTCCTGGTGCCAATGCATTATCACTGGGTGGGCGTGCACTATCATCTTTGCCCTTGCATCTTCTGCATCAAACGTTTGATTACATATTTTAGATACTACAAAAATGTATGTGTCCCTTCCACACACTGATACCAACCAATTATGATTTTTCTTCACAATGTACGGATTAAAGACATAGTTTAAGTTGCAAGGGGAGCTTATAAAATGTCCCGTCATCCATTTGGTAGTACCCTTCATTTGAGTTGTAATTTGTTGTATTTGAAACAATCTGTGTCATTAATCTGTCATTTATTTTGTTTAGTGAGATGCATTGACGTCTTATTAAACCTCTGTTTTGACATCTCTGTGATGAGATACACCCCATTACCATTACACAATAACAGCAATCTGACTTGGGATGAATAATGTCTTTGTCTATTGTCTACCAGGACAAAAAAAAATCACTGGCACAGGAAAAACTCCTCACTCCAGAGCCATGCCATGCCTTGCTCACAGAGGGATGCACTGAAAGCCTACAATAGGAGGGATGGGTTGTTAGGGATGGGTTGTTTCTTCTCAGCCCTACTAAAGAATCTAAATTAAAAGATACTCAAGAAAAATAAAAATATAATGTCTGACACTCAAAAAAGTGAAGACGTTTCATCTCTATACTTTAGAAATAAGTGAATTACATTTCCAGATTCTGTTTTAACAGGAAATCTCGGTATTACATGAACCTGGCATTGGATTACCTCATCATACTTTTCTGCTGTAGAGCAGTGTGATAGCCATGTGTTTGCTGACGAAAAAAACAAAATAGATAGGCTGAAGTATAGTGCAATAAAATAATAATTGCTGAATTTGCCTCCCATTGAGAAATAAATAAATTTTGGCTCTTAAAATTAACAGTGCATACTCACTGTCTTTCCATCTTAACCACATCTGCCATCCATTTCTTTCTTTGTTTTTGTTATGCATATCCTAATCTTCTTTTACACTTGAACATGGCTTCCATGAGCCATTCACACTGTGATATTAAAAAGATCCCTTTCATCTTTCCATCTGTGGGTGTGTGTGATCCTGCTGTGGGGACCTACTGTGCTGTGAGTGTCACGCTGCCTCCTGTACACTTGCAGTTCTTAGCAGAGTTGGGTTGGGTCGAACTGGAATTTATACTGAGCACTACTAAAAGGGATGGGTACTGAAGAAAGGATTCCATTCCCTCCTTGTTATAATCTAAGGGGGAGAGAGAAATAAAGACAGAAGACACTAACGTTTGATGAAAGTGTAGCAGAGCAGAGATTTCACTGGTGTCAGCAGGAAAATTTTATGTCTGAGTTTATATGGATAAATACAGTACGTAAAGGAAAGACATCAATGCACCTCCTCTTAAATGATGCATACGTAGTAGTTCTTCCTTGCCAGTTGTAAACATGTCATGCATTTTAAACATCATTAGGCTTCACAAATACAGTCCCTTAAACCCCTGTAAAGGTTCTCCATCCATTCAAAATAAGTACAGTTGTCGTGCAGCTTAGACAACACTTAGATTTAAGTAATTCAAATGGTGATGTGAAAAAAAGATTCTTCCTGATGTACTTATAGTATTTTCATGAGTCCCATACATCTTTACAGGATTTGAAGATATAGTTCTGGCTTTTAGAGGTGATCCTTCCGTAGTTATTGTCTTCAAGAGGGTAAACTCTGTTTACAGCTTTATTTAGCATAAATCTAAATCAGTTAAAGACTGAGGCTAACAGCTTAGAGTCTGGGTCTCACACCAAAAAATAATTTTCACCATTAAAAAAATAAATAAATAAATAACTCTTGTCTTTAAGACATAAATGAAGTTTATTTAAATACTATTTTGTAAACATTTGAACTGTTAAAGGTGTAGTGGAGGATGTTTTTTTTCTGGGTGGATCATCAAAATAAGTGGTTCTCCTATTTGTCAATCATTCTGGTGATATGTGTATGTAAGGCCGTCCTACGTGTTGTCCCCATTTCCACTTACCATTGGTGAGTCTGACATAGTGGAAAAATTGCAAATGTGTGAAAACTCTCCCTTATACCTTTACTGCATTTGCATAACACCTTTGTGTACTGATGAACAAGTTAGCCTAATATTTACATCTAATGGAGGTAGGCCCTTCCAGTGTCTTCCTGTGTGAAACACGTCAATAGCAGCTGAATATTAAGTCGAAATGTAAGCTTGTGTAAAAATCTTATCTCTATATTTTTTGATTGTTGTACTCAGAATGTAACTCTGTCCAGAAAATTATTCCATGTTCTCTTTTCATTCAATATTAAACAAATGAAGATCAGTTATTTCAAACTGCCTCCTGATTTTTACTTTGTGTAAAATTCTCATCTTCTGTGTAAAATAATCATTAAATGCAACTGGGGAAAAAAGATTAAAGGGTCAAACTACGTACAGTTATTATTAGTTAGGTATTGAGATCAGATTGCATAATTTTATTTAAAAAAAAAATAAAGATCTATAAAAACAAAAGTGAAATATCACATTGTCAAAGTCCTATTTGTTTTTGACTCTTTCTCTCTTTTCCTTTTTATTTTTGCATCCCATAAAGATGTTGTCAACGGGCAGACATCGAATGGAAGACAGCCTGAAGGAGGCAACACACAAGACAACCCATCCAAGCCTCCTGCAGTGAGGGTGGTCGGGGGTACACCGCCTATGAGCTTGCAACAACCTTGGTGCCTTGCTCTGATTTTTGCTGGACTTTGTTTGAAGTCGATGCTGTTCTGATGACAGCACGACCTTAAAAGAGAAAAAAAAGTCACTTTTCATCCTTGGAACTTACATGACACTCATATAGACATATCACCAATATGTTCCTTACTCCTGTCGTCATCCTGCATGGACAGATGTCAAGAAGGGCAACACAGAAATGAAGAGTGGAACAGTGTGTGGCCAACCGTTCGGGAGCCTGTATATGGGTAAGAGTGGGTAACTGCAGGGTCTTTTCTCACAGGGTCTTCACTGTGAATCCTGTGAAGATTAGACATGTGGATTCCACTTTACTGTTCGGGGCAAGATGTGAGCATGAAGGAGTGCTACAGCTCTTGCTTCACTTGCACAGACCTAACCTTTGGGATTTAGAATGGGGTAGCATAATTCTTAAGAATGTTTACAACTGTAAACACTTAACTCCAGTCGTAATTCAAATGACATATAGCACCTGTTGTCTTTTTCTACTGCTGATTTAACTTATCCTCTAAGCTTTGAAGCTCTTCACAGCACTGTACTAATGCCAGCCAGGTGGGAAAATTATGTGCTTTCATAGATTTAACTCCTTTCTTTTTTGGGATTAAGGAATGCATGAAAAACCAATAGATCCGTCCCAGGTGCCTGGCTCGTAACAGCAGATTTGAAATGCTCTAATGACTGTGTAGCTTGCAGGGATTAGAATGTAATGACTTCACTGGTACATCACAAGCTTCCTTGCACGACTGAACATATTGTGCAGACAAACTAGGTGTGAATACTCTAGAAAGCAACTGTATATAGGTAGAGAGATTTGAGTGAATGTGTGACATGAGCTGAATGGATTGTTAATTTGTTTTCTTTCATGAATGGGCTATGTTTGTCGGCTCTACACAACATGTCAAAATCATTCTAATGTTGAACAAAAAGGGGAAACATACATTAATTACCACAATCAGTCATTGCAAGAATTGGGAGCTAGTGCTTTTTCCCGTTTTGTGTATTTGCCTGATAAATTGAAAATTTGCACGTATGACATCTTTCAAAATAGTTATGGCCCTTTTTCACAGCCACAGTTCCAAATATTTTATTTATTTTTACATATCTCTCTTAAAAATTCCAAAAGCTACATTATATCTTCTTTTCTGACTTTCTACACAAATGTCTGTTATGGAATTACACAATCATGTGGCATTCCTAGGCTTTAAATGCTTGCCTTTTTTCTTTTGGGGGTTGGGGGATTCCAACAACTGAATGTGTTTTAATCATACTGTGTTGCTACAGTAGAAATCAATCAGATTTTGTTTAGATGTGGATACTTATGAGTCTCAATTTTTCCCATGCTGTGAAATTGACTGGCACTAACAAGAAAGGCATATGTTGCAAATCAAATATTTCCTTATACTGTATCAAAAGACATCATATTTTTTTATATTGTCACACATCAGCCAAAACTTTCCCTCTTTAAGGTCAGTTTCAATCATTTCCATCTGCCAATTGCCAAATCAGTGAGAGAAATCAATATTTTTATCAAGGGTTTTATCTTGAAAAGGTCTATTGGTATACATATACACATTCACAGATGTTACAGACATCGTCATTTACAGTTATTACTCATAGCCCACATGACCATCACCATTGTAAAGATATGTATAGATCCATCTACAGTGGCTAAGAGTAACTGCTGATTTTCAACACCCATGGTCCATTTTTGATCTTTTTAAGAGAACTTGTTTAGACCTTTTTTTAAACAGTCCCATGCTTGGATATTTCTTTAATTCTAGTTTGTTCCATCATTTAACACCATTTAATGAAATGCACTCTTTTCATATTTGTTGGAGCACATACAGTTTTGAATTATGTTATCCGTATAGCTATACCCTCCCTCTTTTTCATCAAAAGCATTCTTGTACGCTCTCTGGTAGCTGTTGACTTCTAGCTTTTTACATTAATTGTGAAATTCTTACAGAGAATTTGAGCAAGCAGGAATGAATGGATAAAGGTTTAGTGTGGTCATGATAGCCATCCTTTGAACTTTCCAGATGGCTCTTTTTTGCAGGAGGCATAAAGCTTTGAGTGATGCCCTCTAGGTCTTATCTCAGACTTCTACACAATAGCTCAGGTATGGTGAAAAAAAGGCAAACAGAGGACAGAGGGAATGTGAAATGGTTAATAATTCAGAAAATGTTTTACTTTAACAAGATTTGTGATGCTTCTAGCTTAGCCTGAACATATTTTATGTGAGGCTTCCAGCAAATCTTGTACCAAATTATTCCACCTAAGAATGAGATTTAATTTACTGTTCTTGTTCAACTTCTTCATCTATTATGACTTTTAGATCTATATACCCTCTATAATTACTCCAAAAAACAAACTTGGTTTTCTCCAAATTTAAAGACAGTTTGTTGCTGTGAAACCAGTTTTTTGAAAGAATTAATACCATATTTTCAAAAAAAAAAAGAACTGATCTTATTATTCTGGCATTTCAGAAATGATATTAATTTGACTGACCCCATCTGACCTAAAAACTAAATGTGATTTGAAGTCAGACACTGAAAAATATTTGTATCTTTTTTACAGTGTATGTAAATACATGATTTCCACACTTGCTGAGTTGGGCTGATAATTAGAACTACACCTTACCTGAAAACACAAATATAAAGTGTGATTAAAACACCTATGGATTTGCATCAGATGCCTTCAAGTCAAATTGGAATAAAGGGAGAAAAAAAATACTGTTGTAACTATGCAAGCTTTTGAAATGTAATAGTGTAACATGTTGTGCTCTTTAATTGCAGCTGGTCTATCAGTTTTGTTTCAAAGCAGCATTAAACTCACCCATCTGTTTCTTGCAGATTTATGCCCTCGCATGTGTATAAATGTACAGATTTTTCATCCTTGTCATTTGTTTTGTGTTTAATTGTATCTTTTTGTATCGTAATGATACACTGTGGTTGAGCTCTATTAAAAGTGCTCTTCTCTTTCTGCCTGTCTCTTGACTTTAGTGATGTTATAATTAAAACATTCCTTTTTTATTTTATTTTATTTTATTAATGACAACTCAAGTTCACCTGTACACATATGCTAATTGTTAATACAGACTATATTTTTAATCATATGGCACCGTCTAGCATCTTCAGTTAATTTCTACTTAATTTTCTACCTAAATATGTCACGTACTATATGAAAGTACTTTTGGCACTTACAGAGTCTTTGATTTGTTTATTTTAATTTGGCTAAGCTGATCTTTGCAAGTATTGCTTTACATCCTAAGGTTGTTGAATTTAACAGAAAATAAAGAAGGCTTTATATGCCGCTTTACAAAGGGACTAATTATAGTATAGGAATTATACAGTATAATGATTATAGTGCAGTCACTATCAAGTTGTATTTAGCAGCGTGTTCTTTCTAAACATGAAGACAAAGATTGAACTTTCTGATGCTAGTGTTGAGGAAGATTTAAGGTTAGGGTCTAGCCATTGTCTTTCACCATTTGCATCAACGAATAATTTAGCTAAACATACCAGTCTGTGTTTGCAGGAGGAGTGTGACAGTGCAGAAGACATGAAAAGCTCAGGCACAGTCAAAGCTGGTCAGGATGACAGCAGCATAAATCAAACTAGCTGTGAATGACCTCTTGGTTTCTCCTGTAGAGGAGATTTGTCTTTTAGCAGAATTAGATTTTCTAATCTTAATATGATTCCTGGTGGATCTTGATTAGATTCGGGTCATTTTGCCACTTTACCATGTTGTACTTTTGCATAAAAAATGTAGGGGGGGCTTTTCTTACCTGCTTTGAACACTGATAAGCTGAGCAATTTTTTTACGTATTATATTAAAAAGTTTTCTTTAAGAGAGCATGTCAAAAATAATATTTATTAGCAGCAGGTCACTATGTCATTTTGGTTTAATCCAAGGCCATAATCTTAATTTTCTTTGAGAGTGAACAAGGGATCATGGAAACTATCAATAGAAATACAATGCTGTGAAATAATTTGATTTGTATGCTGCTAATTATTATGATAAATAAATGGTTGATATGATAAATTAAGAGACATATATAATAAGATGTGAACTGGAGATACTGTAGCCTGTGCTGTAAAGATTTGAGTTTGAAGGAAGAACATTTAAATTTGATGTAGTGTTTAAATGTAATAATTCTTTGGTACAAGGACAGCCCCAGCTTTACAAACACATTTTAATTCTTACTTGAAACATTCCTTTTCAGCAATATATTTTACCTTTTTCAGCTTAGGAAAAAATAAATAAACATTACAAAATGTATCAAGTTAAAAACAATATAAAAACAAAAACATCATAATTTGTTTTTCAAATACCCTGCTTCATAACAGTTGGCTGGCATACTGTCTTACTTTGATTGTTTAGCAAAACTACTTGAGCAAAAATTGAACAATACGTCCTTACATTTGTACAAGCTGTATGCATTCACTGGTATCCTGTTAGTCTGTTTTGTACATCTTAAACTAAGTAGCTGTGTTTTTAAAGGGAGTAGAGTCTCCAGTCTCAATTTGGTGTTTCACCTTTTCCTTATTTATCTGTCTTGATATATAAATGAACAGTGATTGTTGCAATTACGTACAGCATTCAAGCAAAATGATTAAAGCCTTAAACCTGTAAATACACCAACTTAGAAAAAAAATTGTCAATATCTATGACCTGAACTTTTGTTTCAAACCTAGCCTAAAGAATGAGGTGTATGCAGACAGACATGTTTGAGAACAAGAGTGGTCAATAAGGTTCAACAGTGTTTGGATGATCTGAGGTCACAGCTGCTTAGATGTCTGGCTGGGCTATTTTAAACGATGGCATACATAAGCGCTTCTGTCCCTGCAGTGCAGCTTAATGTGTAACAAAACATCCTCACATTTTGGATAAGGATAAAATCTAATTCAAAGAGACGTCACACCTGACACACTGAACTGATGTATTTTTTTTTCTATTATTTGATCCCGTCAAAAGCATAGTGAAAACAGAGTAGCTCACTTTCGCACTCATGAACCCATCCACCACCCCCCTACCTCAAGATTGTCTTACCTTTTCAGCACCCTGTGACAAACTTGAACTGGAAGAGAGAGGCAATGGAGACGAGATGGCACTAGAAATAGCTTCTCAAAGATAGACAATTGGGTGAGTCCTGTGTCTCTTTTTAACCACAGCTCCTCCTCTTGACTTTGAGTGATCAGATGTATCAGTTACTCTCTAGTCAAAGCTTTGTCAACCCTTAGAGCTTCATACATAGACAGTCATCGCAAGCTGCTGACCAGTTTTTTTTTTTTACTACAACCTAGTTTTAAGTACAGTAGATTTAAATATTTCATTTGAAAACTCCATAGCAGAATAATTTTTGATATTATCAGGAATAACTTGGATAAATACTTTAAGAACAGTCATAATCAAATACACTATTTTCATTGAGAGCACAAAATTACATGTTTTTAACCTGACAGTCTTCATAATCCATTTTAACATTCATGCCTAGCAGTAATCTGAAATCCCTGGTCAAAAACAAATATTAGATTTTTTCCAGGTAAAGTACTCTAAAGTTCAGACAGTATAATAATGGAAAATACTTTATGTAACCATCTGTGCTTGGCTGATTACTGCCTCAAGTAAGTTATTCTAGATGGACTACATCAAGTATGAGCAGTTATTCGGCTTTGCAATTCTTTTAGAGCCTACAGGATTTCCATCTTATTCTTCCTCTTATGAAAGAAAAATAGAGGCAGACTTTAACTACAGTATCATATCCAAGGCCAAAGGACTAAGCTGTTGGCATTTGCTGTGGGAGGGAGAGCACATGTTTACTATTCAAAAAGGACAAACTAGTCAAAGGTTCAGGCAAACATCATTCATTCAAGGGAAGAAAATCCATTCTTTATATTTTTAAAGGTAGGTGGGAGTAGAAATTAATATTTAAAACCTTTCTTTTCTAATGACTGTAGCAGTAACCATACAAAAGATACAACTGATAAGTAATGTCAATATAATTTTGGGGGGGAATTCTTCGTTTTACGGCAGTGAGGCAGTATGCTGGTGAAGATTCTCAGTCATCCAGGTCATAGTTGTTCCAAAAAGTTAAAAACAACCCACTGGACTTTGTTTTCCAAGTTTGAAGACGGTAGGTGTTGTAGATGGTGCAATTGTTGGTAGCATTGCCCTGCAGCAAAAAGACCAAAGTTAAAATTTCCAACCTTTGCATTAGGATTGTCAGCCATTGTTAAGTCTGAATGTGTGCTATACACTGATGGCTTTCTGCTCTGCCTGTCTCAGCAACTTCCTCTGATTCACTGTAGTAACATGTCCAGGCTACATCCCGTGTCTCATTGTAAGCCTAAAGGATAATTTTTAGCTTTTTAGCAGCTTAACATAAAGCCAATAAACAGGGGTGTGAAAAAGTGTATGCCCCTTCTTGATTTTTTTGTTCTTTTGCATTTTTGCAGATTTCAAATGAAGGTTTTTATTATTAAAAGAGAGAAAAAAATCATACCTGAGTTCAATTTCTTGCTGCAGCCAGTCTGATTACTGACACATCTGTTCCCAATCACGAAATCACTTAAATATGTCCTGCCTTACAAGGTGAAGAACACTAAACTATCCTCAAAAGCTGGACATCATGTTGAATTCCAAGCTCTTCATGAACAAAAAAAGAAAGAAAGCATCTGAGATCTCTAAGACTGGAAACAGTTACAAAACCGTCTCCAAAGCTTTGGGCCTTTAGTGAGTCACACAGTAAGGGTCATTATCCACAGATCACAAAAACATGGAACAGTTGGAAACCTTCCGGTCGGCAAAAATGACCAAAATTACCCCAAAACTGCTGTGGTAAGTCATCCAAGAGCTCACAAAAGATCTCACATCAACATCCAAAAACCTGAAAGCTTCACCAGCTTTGGTGAAGGTCAGTGTTTGTGTCTCCACCAGAACAATTAGACTGGGCAAAAATGGCCTACACTGTGTTTCACACTTTTTCCAGAAGAATTCTGCAGCAGAGAAATTAGCCAAAACATTTCAACCTCTGAAAAACAAAATTAAGACTTTGGCATGGTCTAGTCAAAGTCCTGGATCCTATTAAGATCCTCTGGTATAACCTTAAAGGGGCTGTTAATATCTGACTGTATTGTTGCTAAATCACAACTATTCTAAAACAATTGGTGGACCACAATTTCTTAATAGAAATTATCACAAAATCTTGATTACAGTTGTTGCTGCTTTGTGTGGCCCAACCAATTACATATTAGGTTTAGTAGGGTACTAGTTTTACCTAACCTAGCCATGTAGGTTGTGATTTTTTTCTACTTAATGATTGAAAAAATTTTAAGAATTTAAATTATTTTTCAAACCACTCTTTCAGGTTGCAGCAAACTGGCTGACTGGAGTGGTTTCAGAGTGGATTGTTCTGAGCTTTCCTTACAAATTAATGGAAGAATGTATGCTGTCATTGCATCCCCCTGTTTTAAATGCATTTGAGAACAACAAATGGTAAATGGTAAGTACTTATATAGCGCCTTTATTCAAGTTAGGAGACTTGACCAAAGCGCTTTAAACTACATTCATTCACCCATTCACGCACACACTCACACACTGATAGTGGCAAGCTACACTGTAGCCACAGCTGCCCTGGGGCTCACTGACAGAAGCGGGGCTGCCGTACACTGGTGCCACCGGGCCCTCTGACCACCATCAGTAGACAATGCAGGTGAAGTGTCTTGCCCAAGGACACAACGACACTGAAAGTCGGATTCGGGGCTTGAACCGTCAACCCTTCGATTTCAGGGCAAACTCCTACATCCAACGCCACTGTCGCCAAAAGCTAATTTCTCTGGGTGCTGGCCACTTGTTTTGGCCTGGTATTTGTGGCGTGGTTGTGCTGTGACTTAGTTCTCTGCGGTTGTGGTGTTGGGTTGATTGGTTTCCCGATCTTTGACATGCT